CTAGTTGGCCCAAGAAATTTTGCAAGATCTTTCACACAGCTCCAATCTGTGCCTTTCATAAATTGTCACAAAACCCTATCTGCACTCTTCATCATTTTCTTCACACTGTCATGCTCCTCATGTCTAAACTGCCCATTCCATATTTCCATCTCCCTCTTATTTTGCCACTCTTCTAGAAGTAGACTTCCATATGTGAGAAGACATAGGGTCAGAAAAAGGATTCATAAACAGCCCAGCTTGCATGCAGCATTCTGTATCTCAGCATACATTGGAGAATGCTAACAATTTCGTATCAGAACACGACAATAACAACTGTCAGAGTTGTAAACAATGAAGTATCTGGTAATAGAAAGTTATTGAAGATTTGTGAGCAAAAATTGAAACTTTTGGCTTTCTAGCAGAACAAAAGTGCCTCTGCATTAGTAAAGATGTGCTGAGATAGGAATAAATAAGGTATGGAATACCTAAAGGCCAAATTTTGAGATGCAGTATTACATCTGTCTCCTTTTGACAACAATCAGCGATGAAGATGGCTCAGCACATCATAGGATTTTTCAAAGGCAGATCTGGCAGTAGCATTTTTAGATTTTAATGCTTCAGGCATAATCTTTATTTTACATCAAGAAACGCATCTGCAATTAATTAAACTTTAGTTGTCATGAATAATCAACAAACGATTATACACACAGAGTAGTGGTTGTGTGCTCTTCTGTGTTTGCACAGAATTGCTGTAACTCACATGTGCACACAGTTCAAGTCAAAATTACCACAGCATATTGACCATTATGTTTACAGTTTACTATAATACATCTTTTCAAAGTTCCACATGCAGAAAACTACATGTAAAAAACAAACTGCAATATAAAAAACATTTTTGAAACACCAGTGTAATTAAGCCATCTTGTTTATAGAGATTTGCAAAATCGAGAAAATTTCAAGACTTGGCAATATTAACATTAACATGAACTTCACAAACACTATTCAAAACCTTCTTCTTGGGCAATAGAAAGTTGCCAATATTTTAACATAAATCACAGTTTTCACAAAATCTCTAGAAAAATATCTGCGAAAAAACACTTGCAGTAGCTTATTTAGTGTCCTTCACCCAGCTTTACATGCATGTTGGGGTACTCATATATAATTCAGTTCTCTACGATAATGCTCAGTCCTCCACAGTAAAATTACAAAAATGTCAATGGAGAGAAAAAACCCTGAACCCATGAATACCTTATACTTTTGCATTTTTAAAATAAAATCTCACTTTAATTTAGAAATTTCATAGCATATTCCCATTCCTTCAGATTAATCAGATGAATCATAGTCACGCATCATTTGTATTTATGTACACCCAAAAACCACTCCATAGTTGTGTTACCACAAAAAAACCCCTAAACAGACAGGACGTAGCAGATTAGGTATTATAAACTTAAACAGGTAATTTTCAGTATTTTAATTTTTGTGTTTCATAACATCCATTACATGGTTGCTCACAAAATCAATCTGAATATTTACAACAATATTTAAAGAGATTATGGGAAATTCCACTTTCTTATAGATAAAATTAATACATAGCCTTAATGAATTTGCTACATACAAGGTCTTTTTTTCTTAATTTGTATCAAACGGGAAAAAAAGACAATAGCATCTATAAATACCTATGAAAATAGATATAGATGAAGCCAGCAGTAATTTCCTGGCACAAAATAAATGCAAAAGTCAATGTCATTTTAAAGAAAAATGTGCATTTTTCATACCAATTAATAATGCTATACATCCTGCCGCACTGGATTGCAAATAACTTCAGCTGAATAAAATTGCATGACATGAGATTTACTTACTCTCTATGTTCATAGAAACAACTTGTTCTCTGACAGCACTCATTTTTGGCAATTTATTGCAGCTGTCAGCAGCCCATTTGTTCAGATTAGTGCTATGCATAAAGGTGTAACAGTCATGAGGATTAACTGATTACCGTAAAGGTGACAGTCAAAATTGCCTTCAAAAACACAAATGATAAGAAAGTTAAATAATTACACGATGATTAAAATCACCTTCATTTTGATATTAGTATTACCTATGTAAACTCACTGCAGTACGTTTTTAATCACAGGAGCGTATTGTCTCAATATAAAATATAAATTATTTGCTCACAGGAAAAACATGTGAATATTAAATATATTCACACTGAAGAATATATACACATACGTATTTCTACTTATAGATGAAGTAATAACTAATGCCACTTATGCAAGTCTATACATTTATTTAAATGCAGGAAGGCGGCCCATGTGGCTCCAGCACCTGGTGCTTTCCATAAAAAGAACTTCTAGACCTCCTTTTTTGGTCTTGGAATGTTGATTGTTTTCTTTTTTTAAAACTATATTCAGATGTATGGCAGAATTTATTTCCTATAAAATGCAGCTCAGTTCTAGTAAAGAATAGTGTTTTCTCATACAAATCAGCACATGACTGGAAATATATTTTCCTCCAATCTCTTGTATGAGATCTTTTCCCAGGCTTTTGAAATACTGAATTGGTTCTGGAGTTTGGGGTTTTTTAGAATATTTTGAGATGGAAGTTCACAAGGTGCTGCCACCTTTAAACTCTCATGGAGAATGCACAAAACTGAAATTCAAATGTATTTTATAAACACAAAATGCTCCAAGTTAAGAATGGAAATCAACCAGTCAGCATTTCGACACTGCCATACTGAACATGCCTGGGCATCAAGATGAAGACAGAGCTGTATGCTACTTCTGTGACAGACGTCTCCTTTCACTTTTCTGAACTAGGATGCCATGCTGTCACTGACCCTCTTAACACCTTCCTCGCTCGCACAAGGAAGATCTTCCTCCCTCTTGCAGGGGGATCTTACAAGCCACCTCTCCCATTTCCATCTTTCCCACCCCACAACCAGAATCTCACTTCCATGTCCTCAACCTTCTTGAACATCTTTCCTGTATTTTCCTGCCCTCAGAAATGGATTGCAAGCCCAACCCCCTGCAATCCTTGCAACCGTGTGACATTCCCAGCTTTCACCTGCTCTTACCATGCTCCAGCCTAACAAGGACAATAATAAATACAAAGCTCACACTTTCCCACTTCTTTTAGTTCACAAAAGTGCAGGTTAGACATGGCATCATTCCAGGATAGTTTACAGCATGCTGGTTTAGAATAGAATTGCAAGTAACTGAGCTTAGCATAGGAAAATAAAAGGTTTTTTCTGCTATTTCCCAGAAAGGTCCTGGAATTTTTCCCTTCTACCTACTACCTGGGAAATGGTCAGCTCTTCAATCTAGCGTGCCTTCTCCCTATACATATTTTAGCCAGGCAGGACATCTTCAAGAAACAGTTGTTTCCATTTGCATTTAACAAAAATATTCTTATATAACATTACAGCTGCTGCTTGCACATTATTCAAGCAAGCAGGAACATAACAACTAGATTAAATGTATCACCCTCCATTCTTGAGCAATGATAGAATGCTACCAGGAAGTCTTTTGTTTCCCACCCACAGCTACATTATCACTTCTTCTGGAACCTGAATCAAAATATTCGATTTATTATGTGTGTCTTGAAAGCCATAGAGCCTTAGTCATGGAGCACGACTCAGTTGTGCTTTTAAAAACTGATACACACTTACCATAACACACACACAGAGCAAGTCTGTATTTTGTGCACCAAAATATTTCCAGCTTTTAGGAACAGCCTTGAAAGGAGAAACTGGGAAAGAGAGGTCAGCATTAAATGGAGCTGTCAGGTGCTGGTGATTTTTATCTGCAGTGACTGGAAAAGAATATGAGGGAGGGGGAATATTAAGACCTATTTTCGTATTCAGATTTGTATTCAGAGCTCGACAAATGACAGTTTTTCATGGAAATGTTGGAGAAGAATTTTTTTGCAGGTTACCTTACCAGAGATAAGGTACTAACAGAAGGTGAAATGTGAGAGTGTCTGCAAGGACAAACTGAAGATGGATTATATGTACACTGACAGAGGGATCAAAAAAATCACGAGCAGCAAGGTTTCAGCAAGTGGTGCTTGGATTATGATGTTCTGAAAAATTACTCATGGAAACTTTGAATCTCACCATATTTTCCTAAGAAGGCTAGAATGAAAAAGAAAACTGCAACAATTTCCCAAGGTATATAACATGTTGACATAGGACTAAATTAGTACATTACTTCAGAAAAATATTGATAGTTACCATATAATAACATGTGAAAGTGATAGTGAAAGCACCTCCAATAAAAACAATCAAAATATATAGGATTAATGATTACCAATTATTATTATTATGACGACTGCATGGATATCAAGGAAAATATGAAGCAAACAAATATCTGAGCTTTCCAAACAGCACCTACTTTGTAGTACCTATAAGCACAAGATGTTTTTTCCCCCCTATTAGCTAACAGTTAGTGCCACCTCGTATTCTGTAAAATGGAGCATAGCCATACAAATATAAGCTATTTCTTGAATACCGAGACACATTCATACTCCTGAATATGAATTAGATGAATTATTCTTTGTCCCAAAATATGTGTATAGTCCTTCAACTCTGTTTTCATTTACCAAAAAGATTGGTACATAAATTTGGTTTTACACATCAGGTTAAGAGTTGTTTCTCCTCCAAGCTGGATGTTGCTGCATGGAACCTCTTGCACCTTGGTAATTGCTCTGAACAACCTGAGAGGATTTTTTATTTTTGAAAACCTCGGTCTATCAATTGGTAAAAGCTGCCACCTACTGGTCAATTTTTATTGACCAGTATTTTCATTATATATTACATCATCAATATGAAGAATTACACCAATGCATCAAATTGTACTGGAACATTGCAGAAAATCCCCTCTGAACTTAAAAATAAGAAAACGCAAACAAGAAACCAAGGACAAATGGTCATAAGAAACAGTTTCAATGACAAGGCTCATTTTAATCATCCTCTCTCATGGAGCTCTCTCATCCCCACAGACCAAGAAGGCTAGAATTGCACAAACCTGCCAATGAAATCATCCTTTTTGCCAACATCTTTGTCCCACACGGTAATATCAATAATTCCACCTCGTTCTTCATAGAGATGAAAGTCAAACTGCTCCCTCCACTGAGGATTCAAAGTTTTTGGAACAATCTAGAGGGAGAACAAAAAGAAAATAATTTACATTGCGTAGGCATACATTTTCCTATATTTGTAAATTTGATCATCAGAGTCTGTTCAGGAAACTTTTTCTGTCTGGAGTATCAATATCTCAAGCAGTGAGAATTAAAAAATGGTAATTAGGAAAGACTACTAGCCAGTTCCCTCACGCCTCTCTGATGTAACAGCAACCTCCAAAATCCTGTCACCTTCAAAAGCCTCCTGAACAAAGCATTCTTCCTGGGAATGGAGCCATTTCTCTGTAGAAAAATTATGTCCTCTGTGAAGTGACAGTTAGCTATAAAGTTATGTTTCTGAGCCCAAAAGTAAACAAAGCACCTGCAACGACATATAGATGGTGACTGTAAATACTTAAACAAGCAACTGTATCATGTCCTTTTATCCCAGCTGCAATAATATTGGGAGAAACATGATACTGTGGTTTACTTTCTATGGAATAAAATTAGTTCACTTCTAAAACTGTATTTCACTTCCTTTCCTTTGAAACTCTGATGAAAGCAGTTTTTTTCAACATTTTCAGTCCAGTTACTTCTTACTTCAAAAGGTTTGAGTCCATATATTTCTTACCACACTGTGAAGAACAGAAGTTTGCAGAATTTTCTACCATAATGCAAAAGCAGTATTCACTGTCTTGAGCCAGAACAGAAGACCCCTAATATCTTCCCTATTTAGCAAACACTACCTCATACAACCACCAGTTCCACTACCTTGAAAAAAAAGAAAATTCAGAAAGGATTATGAACATTTTTTTATTTCACAGAAGCATGAAATTTGATTTCTTATAATTTCAAATTAAGAGGCTCCAATGCAGGGGTCTACAAATATGACAAGTAAATTTTCGTGCCTTCCTCCTCAATTTACCCTTCATCTGGATGTGAAAACCACAGTGACTGTCATGGCCATCAAGAGAGGAAGGTCATGTGCATCATCGGCAGTCGCAGCATCTCCCCTAAACAGCAATTTTCAAAATGGCAGGGACCAAATGAAAAAAAAAATTGCAACAAAGCCAAGCAAAAAAACCCAACCAACCAACCAAACAAACAAACAAAAAAAACCAACAAAAAAACCCCAAAGCCAAACAAGTCTTCACAATAATTATATCCCAGATCAATCATCTCTACCTGTGAAGCTCATACATGAAGAAAACTTTAATGAAACTTGTTGCTAAGGACATGAAGAGGAAAAGGAGCTTATAAGCATGACACGGTTTGAGAATAAGACAATGCAAAGAGTCAAAGAGGCACTCAGCATCAAGCCAGGAAGACCTTGTCAGAATCACTGCTTCTCTTCCCTGCCATGAATGACCCCTAACAGTAAATAAAAGCCAACACAGTCTCTATAGAACATTAGGTGTGTTCCCCTGTAAACCCATTTTTCAGCATTACATTTTTTCCCACCTAACACTACTTTTGTTTATAATGAAACAAAAAGAACATTTAAACAAAGCTCCAGGTGCTCTGACAAATAATCATTACAACAATAAATCTCCATTACCATTGAAAGTCATGCAAGCTAAAAAACACCAAACAGGAACAGAGCATTTTAAAAAAATGTTCAGTCACAGCTAAAATTACCTTGCTCTTGTACTTCTGATGCCCCAAACGAAACTTCACGTAAGGATCACTGAGCCCATTTGCATCCATTGCCTTAAGTTCACAACCTTCTATTAAGGTAACACTAACTATCCCTCTCCATAACTGAGACTTTCTGTGCAGGTCTGAGAGACGTAAGCTCTGGGTCTGAAACTTTAGGGAAACAAAAGCACAGATTTAGTTAACACAATTCCAAAATTTTCCCCTGCTTTTTCATGTTCTATTTCATGTAACTATGAATGGAAAATAACCACCTTAAGCCATTTTGAAGCTTTTGACAGTACATATGTAAACTATATTGCAAACAATTACTTGGAGAGTAATAAAATAGTGACAATTATTCAGGTAATGCCATATGCTGCTTTTGCAGAAGAAAACAGAAAAAATGCAGCTCAAGGAAATGTTAATTTCTTTAAATGTGTGTTTTTTCTGCTTCACTTCTTCCTCTGCTGATAGAATAAAAATAAATGTTAGCAAGTCTCTTCTATTAGTAGCATATGATTGAATGAACTTGAACAAACTGTATGCTTATAAAGATTAAACCCCAGTTGGAATATAAACTTCTCTTAGAATAACATACTATAAACCCACCATAAGAAACATGGATCAAGGAGAAATAATTCAATAAACTCCTCTATCTCTGCCTCTAAAATGATGTGGTACTCTCAGAAACATGAATTAAGTACTAGCACATAAGTTAAAAAGTTTGAAAACAACAGAACCTCTGTTCAGAATTGTGTAGAGACTTGTGGACTCGTGAACTCCCAGCCACTGATTTTGGGGGTTAAAATAAGATTCACATACACAAACCAGACAACTACAGCTTTTGTCAACTCCACTGGGGATTTGAGAGCAGCAGCATATAAACTTGAGTAACTTAAGATCATTTCCAATTTGCTCTGAGCTACAAACGGGTACAAGATACCAGAAGTGGGGAATCACCTTTACACTCCTGAGGAAGGCTAATGTGTCTTGGGTGCATGTGAGAAACAATGTTGGTAAAGGCTCTCCCTTCTGTTCTGAAACTTTATTCATTCAAGGCTACCTTATCTATAATCACAACACTAGATAGCTAAACACTATTTAAACTTGCAAATTGTTTCCTCTAGGAATCAAAAAAAGCAAGTCTGCTTGTACATACTGCTGTAACTTTATTATGCAATGTGGTTTGAGCAACAAAGGCTCAGCAACCCTTCAAAAATGCAGGTCTTGCATGCCTGGCTTCATCCCTTGCAGTCCTCCACTATCTTTGTGAGAGGGTTTCAGTGCAGGTTTGGTTTGAGTCTTTTAGATGGTAAACTCAGCTGGATGGCTACAGCTGTGCAGGTGCCCCGGACACGGGTTTTACTTTATTACCTAGAGACAGAGATTGTAATCACACCCACCCAGCCTCCAGAGAGAAGACATGAAAACTATGGCCACTGGGCTTGGAGCAAATCTGATTAACATACTTTTTGCAGTGTTTCAGGTAAGTTTTTGGCATGCATTTGTGTTTTCTAACGGTTATTTATTCCAAGTAATATGGTTATTCCCAAAATATTTCACTACACTTATTAAAGGTTTCTCTTCCTGAAGTGAAGGATTTGACTGCAGAGAAACTTCTCATAAACTTCCTGTTTCTACAAAGGCGAACAAGGAACTGCGTGTGGAATAATCTTGAACTTAACCTGCAAAATGAAGCAGCAGTGGGACATCAGAAAACAGACATTACAAAAAATAGGGCAGAATTGAGAAAATCAGTTGCCAGAAGAGATATCATTTACAACTTGGGAGCATTATGTAAACTTCAAGCTTTTTGTCAGCACAAATACGCCTCTCGTTGAGGCATACTGTCAACATCGCCAAAGATTTGACTTGTGAAGAAGTGATAATTTTTTTTTTGTTCCAGTTTCTTGAAAGGCTTAGAGCCAAAGAAAGCCTGGATAATAAATAACCAACACAGACTCTGCCTTGAACACAAGATGATGAAAGAGACAGAAAGAAAACCTGCCATGTTTAGGAAGATATTTTATACTGGGATGTAAGCAGTGGTTGAGACTTCTTCTGAAAAGAATATACAGTTCTTGGGGGTGTTATAAGAGCTGAATGGGAATCCATATGATTTCCAAGATTCAACCATGAATTTGCATTTACAACTCTTTTGAAGTAAATCTTAAGCACAATGCATAGCTCTCTACTTCTTCATCAGTGAGACAGTGAAAAATTTAGAGAGTATACCTGATCTAAATTCCGTATATTCAGCAGTTCTTACAATAATTTGCTGCACTAAAGCATCTGCCCCATCATCAAGCAAGGTGATTTTTTCTGACCAGGAGTTTCATCAGTGGGGGTAATTTCCATACAAGGTAGCAAGGCAAGATCTAGATGACGAAGAGCTGGGTGTAAAACGACCGACAGGTCAGACAGGAATTTACAAGTCAGGCAGGAGACTGAAGAACAAGTGTTCACATGTTGCTGGAGGAAGCCCTCTCAGGTCAGAGCAGTATCTTGCAGTCAATGACAATCAAATGCAGAGCCCAGAAGCACCTTGACTGACAGTGAAGCTGCAGAGACTATGTCTTGCCATGCTGGAAGAAAAGCAGACAACTGCTAAAAAGAGGTATTGATTGGTTGTGGCTGTTTCTTCCTCAAGGTACCACAGCAGTGTTCATTTCCGTCTTTATTGGTAACACACAGATGCATGGAACAGTAAAAGGGAGAGGTACTGAAAGACTCAGGGTACTGCTCATGGGAGCTCAAGCTATTGAGATTTCCTGGACATGAAAGGCATCAGCTATGTGGCCTTCTCCAGCAAGAGTAACTTCCAGCTGGCACTTTTCTTGTTACTAAGCAAGACTGAAGGGAATTCTACAAACTTTTCTTCCAGTCACAATCACACTTATTCCCAGAAATTATGGATAATTTATTGACATAACTTCTTTTTTTCATATAATGCTTATTGTAGAAAGAAAAACAAACAAAAAAAGAATGTTCAGATTAAGTCAAATTTGACAAAAAGCTGGTAGCTGAAAAAATGGGAAAGTAAGCCTGATTTCACATTTTAAAGTTCTTTCCTTACGAATTTAATTTTACAGTGTGAGACAGGCACATTTCTAGGTACATTTCCAGGTATCTTAGAAACCTGTAAAATCCAGCCCACGGTGAGATACAAATTCAGAAGAGTTAACCATGAGAATAAAACAAAGAAGTGAGGGTGTATCTTCCTCAATTTCTCCTATGAAGGACTCAAGTTCCTCAAGTTTTATTCTTAAGCAGCTTGTTTCCCTCAGAAAGCATGTAGTGAGTATTGCAGCCTAGATTCACTCTTGTGCCACAAACAGAAAAAAAAAAAAAGAAGAAACTGAACAGCTTTTCATTTGACTGTAAATAGGTGGGAAACTACAAACTTAATATATAATGCCACAATTTCAAAAGAAGCAAGATCAGTCCACAACCATCATTAATATGTGACTATTATTTACAGTACTCACATTTTTGTGCAGGATACAGGCATGGTGACTCACACCTGACATGTTCTAAACCCCCAAAGAGAGGGTGCCTAAGATGCAGCCTGCATGCAATGAAGTTTTCTCCCTTTCTATTTTTCCAAAAGGAAATTTAAATTTGACTTCTTAAAAGGAGTCTTTCAAGCTAAAGGATGCTCAAAGCTACCTGCGAAAGAAAAACCCACATATTTTCATATCCACACACTGCTTTAATGCTTAAAAACAGCATACAAACCCAGCATTTTCTTATGTGAAAAACACAGTTTTTATTTGTGTTCCACCTATACTGTGTAAATGTGATGTAGTGGGCGGGCTAGGGGCATCAACAGGAAAGAATCTTGACAGAACTGCACCCTCTGCTAGATGTGATTAATACAGCTAGCCAAATGTCAGAGCTAAAAGATGATCTAATAAACATGACTTAATATTCTGCATGCATTCAGGTATTTCTAGATAACATTAAGGGATGGAAAACCAACTAGGCTTAGTCAGAACCTGGGCATTGATCCCAGGATAATCAATACCACATTGATGATAAGCTATTGTTATTTTTGTCAAAAGAAGAGATGCACTTTGTCAGTATTTTTGAAAACCCCCTCATATTTTTGTTTCTCTTCGGATGACTAAGGGTCCTCTGAAACTTGAGTCCAAAGCAGATTGGAGAAACCCCACACACTGTCCAACTCTGCACTGTCCCAGTCCAACTTCATTTCTTGATTGATCAGCCCTCATGCCCTGCAAAGTACCACCTCTCTCACTGGCATGTGCTTGTGCAAACACTCTGCTTTTATTAAATCTCCTTATTACACACTCCCCTAGGACACATTGCTCCTCTGAGTCCTGGAACACAATGGACAGAAACAGAACAGTCTACCCATAAACTTATTAATTTTTTTAAGAAACTAATCAATAATGCACTTATATGTCCTGCAGAGGCACTTCTATGCAAAAAATAACTTGGTTTCAAAGCTTAAAAAAAATCAATCAAGAAATTAGTGAAAATATATAAAAGAGAAATATACATCTCTCCACCACTTAACAGAGCACATACGTAAAAATACAGCAAAGTGATTCAAAGTCAGTGTTGCAAATTACTGCTGCAAATTCATTGTAAACAGAATTCCTATCCCCTGGTTTCTAGGATGCTCGCAGAGCTTGGATAAACAACATAAAGATTGAGAATTTCACTAGATACAATTGCTAGTTCTATGTACAAAACAATGAAAAAAATCAAGGGACAGTCACATGCATTTTTAATGCTTTTCCTATATTAGAAATGAAACAAAGTATGACCTTGTAGAATTCATCAGTATTATAGACACTGAAATGCCTTCAATGGGATCATGATGATTCCTTATTTTTTGCTCACTGTAACTAAGAAAGTTTTCTAAACTGATTGCTACTGATAATTATTGCAATATGAAAGAATGCTTTCCTTAACTTTTTATCAACTAAATTTTAGATTTTAGGCTATTTTAATTCTAGGTGAAACTAATAAAAATTTCTACAGTTGAGAAATTTACACTGCCCTACATCCTGGGCATTTTAACTGCCATGTTAAATCTGGTTTCTGGAGTTTGCACTAACAAGCTGATACTGCTACTGTAGAGCAATGCTGTTCTGACACACAATGCTTGGAGTAAGAGCTCGTACTTTTGCAGTGTTTCACATATTTTTGTGGTTTTCTAAATTGAGTAATTTGGCATTCTACTTAAGTGTACTTGAAAGATGCAGCTCAGGTGTAGTAGGATGTGGACTATAGCACTCTCTGTGAATTGAATTTTTTGTAACAAGGGTGAAAACATTTGTACGGGGCAGCAGTGTGCAGAAGCACTTTGCAGAGAGTCTGTGCCAGCATAGTTCTAACTGCCCCCGTTCTTTGTTCCAATAATTCCACTTGGAAATTGTCGGCTGCAACATGTGAAAGTCAACAGGTTTTCTGATGATCCTGTTACTGTCTGGGATAACCAACGTCACCACAGTCCTAAAGCTGACATGGACCCCCATGAAATCCCCATGACAAAATGCTACTCTGCTGTTTTAGTTCTTAGCTGGATCAGCTGTTACCACTCACTTACAATTAGTGCAAATATAAGCCTCACCAAATATTTACATAAAATTAATGCAAATGCAAGCTTCACCAAATATTTACATAATTTTTATAATTAGATGTTTACCAAACAGGCATATCTATTCTGACTGGTTTTTATTTCTATTCCATTATTTAGTCGCTTTCCTTCAAGCACTATTTACAGTTGCTAAACTGACATATAAAACCTCATGGCTTATAAAACACAAGTGGTTTTGTCAGTATTAAAAGATCCTTCAAAGAACTCAAAATGCAGTAATTCTACCTTGTATTCTGAAATTCCTGAGAGTTTTGGCTCAGAGATTCTGGTTGAAAGATTGAACCAACTGTAAATTCCTTCAAATTAGAAATGTCATACAACTCTACGCTTATGTTTGTCCTTGCAATACTTATACCATGATTTGCTATTTCCAATTTTATTCTCATTCCAGTAGAAAAGCATTTTGTTTCAATTTTAAAACAGAAAAAAATGCTTTTCATATTAGGAAAATGCAAATCAGGAGCCACAGAAACTAAGTATTTTGAGTTGGGCATAAAACCATCCATTTTCAAGGCCATACGTTTTGGCACTTTAGTTTGTGCAGCTGGAACACAGATACTTTTGGAAAAGCTTGTAAAAGAAATTTGAAAAACAGTCAGCAGTTTGGAGCTGAAAGCCACTCATTTAACAATTCATTCTTGTTTAAAAATGTTCTAGTTTTCTGTTAAAAAGGATGTGCAAAAGTTTCTAAGGCAGAATTAAAGGAAATATAGTTACCTAAATGCAAAGAAAAAAACACTTTAATTCACTTGCTTTATGCAGTAAGTACACTCTTATCCCAAATTGCAACTAATCAGAAGTAGTTTCTCAGTTTTGACTGAGGGGGCCCATGCAAATCTCATGGAGTTCAACAAGGCAAAGTGCAACATTCTGCACCTTGGTCAGGACTAAGGCAAGCACAAATTCAGGCTGGGCAGAGAATGGAATGAGAGCAGCCCTGAGGAGAAGGTATTGGGGGTGTTGTGGATAAGCAGATCAACATGATCTTCTCATATGTTGCTGGAGCCCAGGACACAGATGATCTTCTGGGCTACATCGAGGGAAGTGTGGTCAGCAGGTCAAAGAAGGTGATTCTCATCCTGTACTCTGTTGTGACCCCAGCTGAAGTACTGCATCCAGCTCTGAGATTCTCAATTTAAGGACATGGACCTATTGGACTGGGTCCAGAGGAAGTCACAAAGATGCTCAGAGGGTTGGAGTACCTGCCCTTTGAAAACAGATTGGTAGAGTTGAGGTTGTTCAGCATGGAGAAGCATCTGGAGAGACCTTAGAGCCCTTTCCAGTACCCAAAAGGGCTACAAGAGAATTGAAGAGAAACTTTTGACAGGAGGATGGAGTGATATGACAAGGAGGAATGGCTTCAAACGGGTGTTTGAAGGTAGCTTGAGACTGAGTATTAGGACGAATTTTTTGACTGTGAAGGTGGAGAGGTCTTGGAATAGGTTGTGCAAAAAAGCTGTGGATGCCCCACCCCTGGAAGTGTACAAGATCATATTGGATGGGGCTCTGAGCAACCTGGTCTAATGGGATGTGCCCCTGCAAGGAGGTTGAACTAGATGGTCTTTAAAGTCCCTTCCAAACCAAATCACACTGTAATTCCATGATTTTGGGATGACAATGTATTTTTAATCTTAGTTTATACATAACCTGTTGCAAAAGATACTAATTTGTCTTAATTTCTAAGAATGAACATTTGGTTCTAATTGATCAGTGTCACTCTGAGAACATCATCACATATTAATTGTATAAATTAAAGAGTATCACTATATTTTAATACTTTCTAGCGGTCTCAGTTCTAAACTACTATTGATAATATGAAATAGAAGAGAGGATATAAGAGAAGAAAAGGTGACATATCTTTTCCTCCAGATTTCACTGAGATGATGTTACTTGAGAGGGTATAGCAGATAAATCTTACATGTATTTTTCCCCTAATATGTTGGTTAAAACTGCTAAACCACTTGTTTAATCAGTTGGTCCTTAAACGAAAGCATTTAAAAAGTTTTCCTGGTGTTTCCTTAATGAGTCATTAATATAAGAGGTTTAACATGGGGTCTGATCATGTTCAAACTCAACTTAATAGCAATCCTCCCACAGATATGAAAACAAAAAAGTAGATGCTTATTCAGAAGAAAACAATTCTCAGTGAAATGGCCATTTCTGACAGAGCTCTCTCTCTGTATGCTTTGGCTAAAAGGCATTGCCTACACTGAAATAGCTTTGTTTAAATAGTTATAGTCACATAGGAAAACCTGAGCTAGACATGCAGCGCATGAACACAACCAACGCCATAGTAATCTGCATTGTTACACCTTAATTTCAAGCTATCTGTGTTTCAAAAAAGGTAGGATTCAAGGACAAACTTTAAAAAGTGAAGAACAGTGCCATAACACGTAAAAACAAATTAATTCATTAGAGGCGTACATAAAATCTCTAGACAGATACAAAATTGGGTTTGGGGAATTTTATAATGGTATCTTAAAAAATTTGCAATATTCTTTTTTCTCAGCTCTTGGAAGCATAAGACAAACAGTTCCTGAAGAAGAACAATCTCAAAAAGGGCACTTTCTCTATCACCTAATGAGGTTATGCACCTACTTTTAGACACCTTTTTCTAATCTGCAAATGAAATAAGAGTCTTATTTAATATTGATTACTCTGCACCCCAGAGAACAGCACATCTTTTGAACGAATTCTTTGTAAACAGAAGATTTTTAAATTTGTTTTGCTGAGAGCAGATCAAAGATTTGGAATACTGGAACAGACCAAGAAGGCAAATTATCTCCTGTGTTTTAACTGACAAACTTCTGAATATAAATCATAAACACAATCTAAGACATTGTACACGCATTACACCTCTAGGTTAAAATATTACTTCATCTAAGATAACCATAGAAAAAATGTGGTATTTAAACCATTCACTCACTTTTTGCCAAATATTCTGATATCCCAGCTTGCAAAAATGCCAACTACTGAATGAAATGTTATCCAACGAATGTAATAAAGCACAACGAAGATAAATAACTCACTTGAAGTTCTTTAAAGAATTCCCAACTCTCACACTGTGCTGTTCATTCAGGATTATTGAAGCTCACAGTTTTGTCCGTTTGCAATGGGGACAAACTGTTAACCAATATAGTCAGCATATCAGGAGTTAACACATCACTTTCAGGATGCAAACCAGCTCTACCCCCTCAACATTCTCACAGCTCTTCTTTATCTCTTCAGTTTGAGTATCTTAGATATTTCAGGAAGTTACATGAACCACATGAGAATCAAAAAACTACATATTATCACTTCACTGAGTATCTTAGCTTCACAGATTTCATGAAGGAAACAGACTGAGTATTGTCCTGCATTCCAGAAGCAGACTGTGTGAAAAACCTGCCCATAACCCAAGAATTATGAACACTGCTCTCTTTTATGTTTTAAGGTTAAAAATACAAATGCGTCTTAAAATGTGCAAATATTTGTCAAATGAGCACCATATTAATAAACACTATTTATTAATAAACTCCTATTTAAAGTTGTGCATCAATATGCTAGAAGAGTAAATAACTTAATAAAATAAGTTATATTTATTATATAACACATAGCTATTCTGGGTTTTTTTCACATTTTAACACCTTTACATGGTAACTTCTATCGACCTCACTAGCTCAAATCTCTGAAAAATTTTAATTCACTTGCTTTAGGCAGTAAATACACTCGTTTTAACAATAGAGGAGAAAAAAGGTAAAAATTGGTTGTATTCCACTACAGTCAAACTCTCATTCTTTCCCTTCTAGAAAACAGCATGCACTGCTCCTTTTTTATCACTTCCATAACTCCCAAGAGGGGAAAGCTTGCACAGCTCTAAAGAGCTCTATAAAGTGGAGTCCACTATGGTTTTGTGAACCCTGGCTATGACTGTCACCTGTGAACAATCACTGATAGGGGAAATTTGTCTCCAAGAGGCTTCTACGTGAAAACTTGGCACACAAAAACATGAATCAGTATGAGAAATAAGTAACAGGGAAATGAAAGATATTCTTTAATATGAATTCTTTGTTCACATTAACAAAGGAAATTGTTTACACTTGAGAAATTAAAGGCTTTAGAAAAGGAATCAAGACATGTTGGCCATGTACAAGAAGTTACCAGATGACTTCATGATAGGTTAAAGTGCTGTGACAAAGCTGAAAGGTTTTATGATTATATTGAAGGCTGAATTGTACCATGATTTTTATTTAATGAAGCAAAAAACACTGATATTAAAACACAATCATGTGCCAGAGGCTTCCAGTCCTAAATGGCATGCTTGGCAACAAATCACAGTTGTTCTAGAAAAAAAAACAAAAACAAAAAACAACACCAAAAGCTAGAAGACCACATGCTAAAAGTTACAAAGTTACCTTACTTGATCTTTTCCAACTCTTCCTCATTAGCATTGTCTGAAAATAAAATAGAGCATTTTTATTACCTTTTCTCTGCAATACAGAAAAGGAGGCCAACAGTCTCAAATAGGGCAATTCACATTTAATCACCACTACAACTGAAGCAGCAACATGTACACTCCAGCAACAGATACATACAAGACTGAAATCCAGATAAGCAGCAGCCCTGTACCCACCCAGGCATACTCTTCTGGGTGTTATCAGTGTCTCATTTCTGGAGACAATGCATTACGTAAAGTTGCAAGAAAGAAAAGACAGAAAAACACAGAAAGAACTAGATTAAAAATGAAAGTAAATAAATGTGCCATTATGGATAGTTATTTCAATTCTGACTGATATTTGAATATTTATTTATAATTTTTTAATAATAAAGTATTCCAATTTTTTGGAATACTACTATTTTACTCACAGGTGAAGCCACAAAAGCGAAAACCTGCATGAGACTTCTCTGATGACATGAATCTATTACAAAATCTTTACAGTTATCACTGTTTGTTCCTTTCACAGCAGTAATAAATAGTTCTTTGGTTTGATAATGACATACATGAAGTAGGAAAAAAAAGTTATATCTTCATTCTTTTAAAAAGCCAAATCTCAGTTTCCCTATCCATTTACCTAAACAATCTGAAAAAACCTTGGCATTGCTAGGAGCCAAAGTATTCAAGACAGATTCCTAACCATTAACTAAAAGAGACATTCTGTTCATGTAGGTTGTGGAAGTTTTACCTGTGAACACAACTGTTGCTTAAAGCATTTCTCTGGAAATGCAAAGAAATCAGTTTATACAACTTATTAAGATTTAGAAGCCTGACGTTATTGACGCTGAGCAGGAATAAATCAAAGGCCATTAATTTCTATTGAAACTTTTGCCGTGGAAAACAAACATAATTTTAATCTTTTCTTAACTGTTTAAAAAGCACTTGCTTTTTCAGATAATGGAAATAAATTCTGAAATGAAAATATTTTCCTTGCAAAGAAATTAAGTTTTATTTTGGTGAAAAAAATAAAATTAGAGAAAATATGTGGGGGTTTTATTTCTGAAATATCCAGAAATTTTTCAAATAGACATAGCTTTTTGTGAGAAGAAAAATAACTAGCCACTGAGGAAACTTTTTTAATTGCAATGGACAGGTAAATCCTAAGTGCTCTGCAGTAAGTTAATAATAATTGTAGCATTATGGCTTTGGAAAAGATACTAAATGTTTTATTAAGCTGGACAATGCCATTTAACTCATTTTTCTAGGAGAAGCATGTAAGAATTAAACAGGTTGAGCCCACAGCAGGCCCTGAAGAAAATTTGAATTCCTGGGTCCTGTCCAACACAGCAAAGCTTCTCCTTTCCTTGTCGTTGCTGAATCCTACACAGCTATAGGTAAGAGCTTCACTGCACTTCAGACCAGGTTGAGAGCAAGGAACAGAGTAAGTCCTGACAGCTGAATTAACTATACAGATTTAGATTAGATACGAGGAAGAAATTCTTCACCATGAGAGTGGTGAGGTACTGAAATTTGTCACCCAGGGAAGTTGTGGCTGCCCTATTCCTTCAAGTGTTCCAGGTCAGGTTGGATGGGGCCCTGAGCAACCTGATCTAGTGGAAGAGGTTAAGTGGAACTAGATGATCTTTAAGGTCCCTCCCAAACCAAACCACCCTATGACTCATTCAGCTCTGAGGAGTTCAGTTTGAGTAGTAGCTACAGAAAGGTATGACCACCCTTGTTGAGTGCACTGGCATCATTATCAGCTGAAGTAGGATAAGCTGAAGCCATAACAATTACCCTTAAAAACCAATAAAATAAACACATAGCATAGGGCAGATCAGGATGGATGATCTACGCAGAACTTTTTAATCTGAAAATATTCCATGCCCTGAGTCTATCACTGGAGATTTTCTCTATGATGTTAATGTCCCTCTGGCAAATAAATAAACAAATAAACAAATAAACATAATAAGCATCATAATAAACATAATAATAAACATAATAATAATAATAATAATATTGCATTATATGATTTAAGACAGCAAGCAAAATCACAGCCCATTAATGTTAATAGTTTCATATGAAACAAAAAACCTAAGCATCATTTGAGATAGATTATTTTAGGAAAAAGCCAATGCCTTGCATTTTAATCTCAATAAATAACAATGTCCAAGTACAACTGATATGTTTCTTTTTTTTCCATTTTCTTTGTTAGGTTGCTGGCAGTGAGGAACAGTTGTCCCCAGTTTCCACTGGTCCCAAGGCAGCACTTCTTATCAAGCTACCACCTTTGTCATTTCCTGTAGCTGAAAACTGCCTGTAAAGACCCAGGTAGGGAACAGCTGTGGTATAGTGAAGACACGGGTAACATGTAGCTCTGAAGAACTTGCCTACTGCAGGTTTTCCAGTGGTGGAACCTATGCAGTGAATGCTGATGGAAAAAGAGCCAGAAAAACTCACATGCATTGCAGCACCCATGACTACAACACAAATAGAATCTACAGGAAGCCCATACACATGCATGAAATCACAAATACCACACTAGCACACAAAGCACCACATGTATCCAAAAGGGAGTAATAAACACTGTCAAAATTAAAGTAACAACACAAACTTTGTTGGAGAAGATTTAAGAAAAACAATTAATTAATTGCTACTTTTGAGTTCTTTAAAACTGGTCATCAAAAAGATAAATTAATGAAAAATACAGAAAGTACATAATAACCACATTTTTTTTAATGAATAGAGTTAAAATTCACAAATCTTTATAGAGCTCACAGGTTTTCACATTTTTATATACACATACTTCTCTCATATTTATTTATTTTATGTCTTTTTAGTTTACACTGGTCACCTAAGCTATCTGTCACCTCAAAGCAGTAAAACTGAAATGCCAAATTAATGTAAAGGACAAGTACTTCTAAACAGAACAAATCAAACACAAATTAATTGTTGGAGCTAATGCTCCTGCAACTTACTGCCTCAGGCTGGAAACAGATTAAACTTTTCTTGAATATTAAAACCTTTCTAATTTTTATAGACATATAAAAAATAATTCATTCATCAATTTTGATTCACAATTTATGATTGTTTACAAATCATAACAAATTAATTGCCTTCACACGTCAAAAGTCAAAAGAACAGGACTTCTAATAACTTTAGATATGCTATGTTTCTATTCATATAAATAGTTTGAATGAGACATTACAAGATTATTACTTTAAATGTTCACATTTTTATGTCCTTGGACAAGCACCAGGTTGCAAACAGCAAAGATACAGACAAGATTTTCTAGAAATTTTGATTTATCTGCCCATAATCTTGAATAGCATTGAATAGTATTCAATAAATGCAGACTATTTCTGCACTTTCTTCAAATAAAATGTACCACAAAAATTGTCCTTATTTATTAAACTGATTTACTGAATCTATTTGTGATTGAAATTATGTCCAATATCTTCTACTGAAAAAACACAATTGTAAATTACTTAAGCACTGCTTTCCACAGTCCACCAGGACTCAAAAATAAATATTTCTCTTTTCTAGTCAGTGTAACATAGTTTTAAGTACAGTTAATACTCTTAATTGATACCTGAATCTCAAAATGTAATGTTTTGATCTGAGGAAATGGGGCCTTCCAGCTACAACTCTCAAGATCATCTCATCAGTCAGTACACATAAAATCTGAATTTCATCAGAATTTTCTCAGAAAGAGAAAAAATGTTCCTGTGTCAACCAAGTGTCTCTATCACTTCATTTCACACCTCAAGTCTTCATCCAAGACAAAACAATCTATTACTGTGTCAAACTGTCTGCTAAAATCATTTGCAGCAATACCTCTCTCACAGACAGGTGGTAATACACAACTAGGCCCCTGAATTCCTCCCATTTAACTTCCAACTTGCACGTGGAGTAACTTATCCTCTAGCAGCATCAATGCTTCTCAGGCAGTGCGACAAGATGCATTCTCCTGCAACATGCAGCTACATTACTTTGAAACACCAATAAAATGCTTTGTGAGACCTGTCTTCCAACAACACAGAAGACTTTTCCTTTTACCTGAACATCAATGCATGACCTCCAAAACAGCCTCGCTGCACTTCAGACAGTGAAAGGACCTCTTCGGAAAGTATAATCCACAGCAAAAAGTTATCATACAACACATCACAAACAGCAAATCTTGTTTAAAAGGGCTCCATTTGAAATACAGCTAGAGGCATGCCCAAAATACATGCTCAATATACCATGCGGTTTCTGTGGCTACATGGGAAAGCTAACACTTCTTGTTTTGAAACTGTTCTGTTATTTTATTTCCCCCATAGTCCTAATAAACACTCTCATTTTAAACATAATGGAATTATAGTACCTGCAATTTAAGTACTTCCAGGTAATTTCTGTAATCTTCATCTTTACAATTTAATCATTTAACACTATTTATGTGAAACAACACACGAGTCAAATGGTAAAATATTACCCTAATTACAACTCTTAATTGCAAGCAATGTAAGAGTTATCACCTGAGCAAAAGAAAAGCTATTCAGTAGAAAATTTATTTTTCAAATGTACACAATATAAGGATATCAAACCAATAGGATTTAAGGAAATTTGCAGTGACAGGAAAACACTCCACATAATGTGAATAGACAGTGTATCTGTGTCTTCTATGCATCAGTCATTTATGCATACTTAAAAGTGCTCAGGTTTTTATTTATTTATTTCAACTACACTCGAATTATTACCTCTATAGAGATATCCAAGTAGAGGGAAATCATCAATCATTTAAACAGCGTGCTACACAGACTGCAAATGTGGAAGTTGCTTTTAGTGCTGCTTTATATGTTGCACATTTTCAAGAGTGGAAAAGAATTTGTCTTACTCCTCTAACGTAACAGTTGAAAATTTATTGACCTCAATCACTTTCATTTCAACAAAAATACCCTCACTATTATAAAACCTTTCAAAAATAGCCAAAGATGACAGTTCAACTGGAGTGGTAGATTTTGTAATATACCTGCTCATTCAAGGGTAAATAAAATCTAATAAATAAATAAGTACATGTAGTAACTGAAAGAAGCTAATTGAGTCTTATACTATTAAACCCCTAACACATTAAACATACAGCAATTCCACATTAATTCTGTAGGTCACCTTCCCTGCATTGTGACACAAATTCTCTGATTTTATTGCAACTTCACAAGAACTGCTCTGAGATCCGTATCTTGGGAAGACTGGTTTTCAATAATAAATATTAAGCTTCAGATTAGGCATCTGATTCTTAATTGGAATCTTGGGCGCTTTCAGACTGAAGCTGTACATAACAGTTTAAAGGGCAAGAAAATTTGGTGGCCTGAGCTAAATTAAAAAAAGCTAATAATTAAATGTGTAATATAATAAATCCAATTCTTCATCCTATTACAAGTCAGTAGGATATTAAAAAGTTGCTAACCAGCATCTCTATGTTGTCCCAAAACTTTCAACATTCAGTTGCTGGTTTACAGACACCCATAGAACATGTTACACTGTAGTATCTTCATTTCACTTTCTCACCTCTAATTTTCTGGAGCACTCAGCATAATAGCAGACAACACGAGGCAGCACAGTATACACTCTGTGTATGATGAAGGAAGGAAACAAATGTGCTGTCCACATAATGGTATACCACATAAAAATACAGTGTTTCTGTGTTGCATGGTTTAAGATTATGGCAGGATACTGCCAAAGCAACTTGGAAAAACAGGACAAGTACCACCTGACTCAGACCTGACTAAGTCAGTTCTTACCCATAAGAAAAAAAATTAAACATTAAATTAAATTTTTAATTTAAGTAACAAAGACTCTTGTGGTGTAAATTTGCAAGAAAGAATTCTGAGTTATATGGACAAACATACAAAAAAAAATACACTGCATATATAATCACCATATTCCATTAATTTAATAAGTGCTAACAGAACACCATAAGGAAAATTAACATGCTAAAACAATTTTCAAAATTCTACATATTTGCATTACTACATACCAGATATCTAGTTCCAGTAACTGACTTATTAGGCTATTTAATATTACCTGGAAGAAAAGTGTAAAAAGAACACTAGTAGGATCTGCCAGTACTCCACTGGTATGCAACAGGATGTCTCACACTACAGCATACAGCAATGTATCTGTTCTTACAAAAACCATGTGGCTGACCATATTCACAGGTATTTTCATCACACTAATGCTATTTCTTGGCCTCTGCTGCAACCTGTCCCTGAGGCAGGGCCAACAGGTTCATTGTTACTGGATCCTTAGGGGTGGATTAAAGCAAAACTACACCAAATAAGCAATATAACAAAAAATTTTATTAGAACTAGTGCTTTGCAACCAGAACTGGGGAAAAAAAAAGTAACAGACTGGAAAAGGTGTGTATAGCTGATTTGGAGTGTTTGATCATCTTAAGAGCAGAAAATTCAAAAGAGAAAAAGAAAGAAAAAGAGAGAGTAGAAGAGAGAGAAAGGTATCACTACCCATGGATTCTGTGATGCATGGGTGATCATGGCCCATGGTTGTGATGTACAGTCCTGGTCCATCAGAGGCGGAGGCCTGCAAAAATTGTTATAACCCTGGCTCTTCTAGTAAATGTCCCAAACCCTTCTGGATGAGCTGTGGGCATGCAGAACAGTATTCTTCCTGGAAGATTCTGGAAATCTGTCTGTGTTGAAAGTGTGGGGGAAAGTTGAGTGTATGTGTGTCTCTGTGTTCAAGTGCCTCGGCAAACTTTGTGAGCAAACTTTCTGAGTTTTGTGGCTACACAGAGGTGGCCTGCAGTGTGGGAAAGAGACTGACATAAAAATTCCAACAAAACACTGTCCCGCTTCCACAGATTCCACTGCTTAGTGGCACTTTTTCCATTAATTTGAAAACAGCTTGTTTAAGGCAAAATTTAGCTGCAAGGTCCAAATGCTTCCCTATAGCCTCTCTCAGGCCAAAGGAATCCATATTATTTAACAACCTCTCAGGGTGAGAATCATCTCTTCTATTTCTGCCATAGTTCTACTTCTCAAGTCAAAAGTCACAAAAGCTAGTAGAATATAATAGAGTTTGTAACAACTAAGAGTATCTAGAAACTTTTCACTCACAACTATGCAACTCAGAAAAGTAAGACTGACGAAGGAATTACAATAAACTTAGAAAATCATACAATCTTTGTAATTAAAATGTAAATTCAAAAAACGGAAAAGCATCAAATAATCCTTTAACATTAGATGCCAAAAAGCAGAAACACTACCTTTTTCAATATTATTCTCCACATGGAATGCGATTTAAATATTCCTATCTGGAGACAGCAGACTAGGTCCAAAATTCTTAACTAATGGTTTACTGATGTTGCCTATATTAATCAGCACCATTCACCTACAACTGACTTTACCTGATCCATCTATTACTAACTACATATGAGTTTGTATCCACTGGGAAGTATATCCAACTCAGGTGAAATATGCTGTACTGTACCAGAAACATCATTCAGTGTTATCTTAAGAATTAGAAAAGTTAAATTAATCTCATAATTTGAGATTTACTCTTGTGCTTTACATCATCCAACCACAGACCAATCATAGGAATTATGACATTTATTAAATTAGTTAAAATTACCGCTTCCCGCTGGTCTCCTGGAGCCAACAGAACAGACAGGAATATACTTCCCAGGTCATGGTCAGGGTAATGAGGATCCTTCAGACTCAAGGTAACATCTGTTTGCCTAGGAGACAAAAAGCTATGCATTTACATAGACTTCAAACTCTCAGATAATGAAATTTCTCAATCATAAGAATTGAAGGTATCTGAATGTATGCGAACCTACTTAGAAAACAGTGTCACAAATTTGCCCTATTTCTACTTTTAAGTAATTCTGCTGAATGCTTATAAAAAATACTAAATACTTTTACTCTGTATTAAATATTTACATGTACCAAAGTAATCAAATTCAAAATGTAACATTAATGAATTAAAAAACAAAAAAAATCCAAGTATTGGGGTGATGCTGTGAATGAAGTTAATTTGAAAACAAGATTAAAGTGGTCATAAAACTAACCACTCCATGGCCATTGTAAAAATGTGCATAATCAGCTGTCTTGGGGTGACTGTATGATGCCTATATCCCCAAATCGTCTGTTCTGTTGGTGTTGAATATTAAATCCTGCAACTTTAAGACTGGTTCCAAGAGTGAAGGGAGGGAAGAAGAAGTGCAGAATTTGTTATCAGAGACTGCACTGGCTCCCCCGCATTCCTGCTCACAGACTGTTGTCTGCAGTGGACAGAGAGAGAGAGAGAGCTCTCCTTTGCTCTTAGTTAGTTTTCTGGCTAGCTGAGGCAGAGAAGCCCCCTGGATTGTTTTTCCCCTTTTTCTGTTTTCCTGTTTGAACCCACTCTGGACTGAAAACCCAGAAGAGCACCGGGAGCTCACACCTGTGGCCCACGGGGCCTGGCCTGGGCTGCAGCATTCCCCAGCACAGGAGGGACTGAGAACAGACTGAGTGAGCCGGGCAGCCCATGGAAAGAACGCTTCTAAATCTGCTATCTCTTCGGAATGGCAAGAGGTTTTGCTGTTTGATATTGTACATTTTTGTGCTGGGGGGTGTGTTGCCTGTTGAATAAATAGTTTTCTTTTTTTTTCCACTTCTCTCCAATTTTCTTTCCTTTTTCCTAGAGGGACCTCATTCAGAGGTCTCCTCCCAAATTTGTCCTAAACCAGGACATCAGCTAATAAATTACCATTTATAATACAGTAATTTCTTAAACAAAAGTGGTTTTCTTTGGTTGGTTTTATGCTGTGTGGGTTTATATAATTATTTTCTAGCATCATGTTTTAATTACAACTCCACAGACATGGTATTAGCATACATATATAAAAATATTTCATAGGCTTGTTTGTGTCATACCTGTTTAATTCCAATGAAGTGAGATCCAAAAATGCCGAACCAATGAAGTCATCTTGAAGTCCAAAGTCATAATCAAATACCTATGATGCACAAGAGTATTTTTTAGTACTATAAATCTTCCTTTCTTTGGAGCTTTTCTGACAATGAATCATTCTTGAAACCCCTTTTCCAGAGTTGTAGCTTAATGTCTCTCACTTGTTGAATCAGGAGTACCTGAAAGTAACCTGAAACTTTCTGGCCCGAAAATCAAGTTTGAAACTACTTGTTTATAAGTCAGACTACATCATCTAGAGACACTCGTGTATACTACTACTACTAGACTATGCATGTGAATGACAGCAATTTTGTTTAAAAAAAATAGTTTTATAAACATAGGCATTGAAAGAAGGAAGATCAAAACAATAAATGAAGTTAAGCAGAATCACTGATTTCTTATACACTGATTCCTTTATGAATCCTTCAAAATGGAAGCAGGAAGGCAGGATATGGTTATGTAAACACTTGCATCAGTATTTGAAATAATATAATTGTACATTTTGAAGGCTATGCAACTTTCAAGGGTTAGAAACATTACGATCCTTAGATCTATTACTTAGACCTATTACTAAAACGTAATAGCTATGTGTAAGGAAACAATGACAATTAGTAGTCCTCTACTAGGAGGACTCTGCCTCCTAATTTGCTACCTAAAAGAGAAAATACCTTGATAAATTTACCGACAGGAATCTGACCAGTATATCAGATGGTACTATTTGAGATGGATTATGACTTCCTAAATCTGAATAAAGAATAGCAAAAAATCTGGAGGTAGCTATTGCAGGGAGATAAACAAAAAAGGTGGACAGCAACAAAGAAAAGTTGCAAAGCAAATAAAAATATTCAGAAAAATAGAAAAGATCAATTATCAAAATCAACTTTTAAGGTAATTTTTTTTTTAAACATGAGGTTTTCTGAGGACCAGAACGTATCTTCAGCTAAGTAAGAGTGAGACTTGTGAACACCTTATGAGGAGAAAGGAGAAAATTCAACTGAGATATGACAGGACTAGGTTCAAGGTCTTCAATGCTAAAATAAGTACTTGAACTATTGTACTACACAAAGTCTTCCAAGATGAAAAACAGTTCATCTCCTACAAATACCTTAATATGGACGAGGTTGAGACAGTAGTAACAGAAATCCTGCAGCCCAAAGGCTACAGCACGGCTGCACAGCTAAGTGGGTTGGATACAAATATGTGAGCACAAGTCTCTCATGTGCATTGATCTGCCTGAGTGTGCACCCTTGCATTTTTTATATCTGTTAATCATTCCAGTAGAAAAAGAAAACAAATAATGAAATCTCAGCTCATGGTGCAAAGTCAAAATTGTTTTCTCCCTCTCTTTCCCTCTACAAATTACCATGGTGAAAATACCAAGTATGTATTTTTAGCTTAGTAAAATTCAATCATGTCTTAAAATAGCTGTATGAGCTGTAAACCTAAAATACTTCACACAGTGTGTTCAAACTACAACCATGATAGACATTATACTACTTGACACACTTCTCCTAGTGGAAAAAAATACAATCCACTGCAGAGCTGGTACTTGGCATGTATCAACTAAAACAGATGGCTACACTGCAAGTCTTTGCACCTTCCTCTCTTTCACCTGTTCATTCCTTATGAGTCACTAAACGTAATAAAGGCAGGAAAATGCCATTTGAGAATTCTTATTGTCTTTTAAGCTTTTCCAGTAACAATGTACTTTTTCTGAGCAGCATGAGACAGCACTGCTTAATACTCAAAGGATGTTTAAGTGGCATTGCCCTTCTAAGAAAATTTGAATTTCAGTTAAAAATTCTGTCAGGAATTTTAGATTAAGACTGATACTGATCTAAAACATCATGTAATTTCAGATTGACTAAGAGAATTACATAGGTAAGCCAAGTTTTCGTACTCCCTCAAGTATTTTTAATGTATGCATGTTTTATTTTGCATCCTGGGACTACAGTTTTTTAAAATACATTTTCTGGAACATAATTTTTGTCTACTTTGTATTACACAACTAAGAATCACTTTTGCATATAGATCACCATAAACTACTGGGGTCAGAAAAGCACCTTTCTCTTCTGTGGTTCTAAAACAATCGTCTCAGTTTTTCTAGTTTTCATTTCAATAACAACATCTAAGAAATATTAGCTGCTCTGCTGATTATTAGTCATTAGGCATTGCTGGCCACTTTTCCATCTCAACTCAAGCAATCTGTTTTTTCAGAATAATTGGTGCCTTTAATATGACAAAATCATCCTCACCTGTGATTTACTAAGGAGAGCTACAATGTAAAAATTTTAAGAGAAGAAAATGGTATGAAACAGAAGCAAACTCACTGTGTTCCATACAAACAGAAAAATTTAAAACTTACGAGAATCAGGCATGCATCTCAATAAATTCTCAAACTGACCTCAGCAGTGAATTGCTTTTAATGGGACAGATTATGCTTCATATCATCATTATGCAGTGGTATTTCCATAAATAAAATGGATCATGAAATACTATTTACTTTCTCTGTTCTTCTGCTAAGAAATATAAAAAAATTATGACCTGAAGTAAACAAAAATGCCTGTATACTTGCCACTTTTAAAAATCATTATTCTACAGACAATATTAAAATAATTTTCACTCTAATAGTCTTTAGTAACGCACTATCGCACAATAAATTTTTCAGCATACAAAAATCACAAAACTTGAATTCTTTCAATAATACTTCTGTTGTAACTTATCAGACATACGGTGTATTATAAACTGGTGTCTTACCTTTATATACAATGGTTCTCTTAGGTTATCTATAAGAATGTAAGCTTTTTCTTCCCAGACAGGATTAAGGTTCTTGTATACTGTTTTACTTCTAAATACTTCTTTTCCTCCAAGTTTGAACTTGACATATGGATCACTTGTTCCTGGTAAAGACACATGTATATACTGTAAATTCAATCATTGTAATACAGTAAGGAAATGGAGACTAAATTACTGTAAACAGAACTAAACTTAATTTCTATAGATAGTCAAATTCAAAACAGCATCAGATTAAAAGAATTCTTTGTTGTCACAATCTATTACTTTCCACGGTGTCAATACTCAGTTAATTGACTCCGTTAACATCAAATGGGTGCTTGCATCACTTTCTGCTGTTTCCAATCCATTCTCAAAGTCACATATGAAATACTGGCATTATTGGTTTTAGTCAACAGAATAACGGCCTTATTAGGACTAATATTTTATCTTAATGCAACAACAAAAATTAGATTATAAAGTTAAAATTACTCCCGTAAAATATTAACCTAATTATGTTGTGCCTTTGAAAAGGCACATACTCCACTGACATAACTAGTGTAAGTCTTCAATGACTTTATTGTGTCCAGGCTTTTCTCTTCCATATAGGCTCACTTCCTACAGCACTCAAAATAAGAAAATTAATTCTAAAGTCTGTCCACAAAAGTCCTCAACATGCCTCCTGCAACAGTCACCAGAGAGCACTGGACAAAGCCTCTTTAAACAACTGAGTAACAATTAAGTGTGATTAGGAAAACAACCCTGATGCCTGTTAGAAAAGTGTTAAATATGGCTTATGAATGCCATATGCATGGGATATATATGTGGAAGTATCACAAGGACTGAATCATCAGTGAGAGGAGGAGTCTTGGGTGTGAACAGAGACCTCCAGTCATCCAGAAGTGCATGTGAGACTAATTGATCAAAGACTATCTTAAAATAAACAGCAACTCTAGCTTGAGTAACAATTCCATCTTCATTAACAGCAGCAAAATTATAAGACAAGATTTCTTTTTTTTTCTTTAACTATTAGGGCTTTTCAAGAGACCATCAGATGTTAGAAGTATGTGTTTGTATCCACCAGGAAATACATAAAAAAGAAGTGGCTTTTCTTAAAATTGCAAGATGCTCTTCTAAACATAATTCAGAAGGGTTATGAGCAGCATTCTTTGCATTATTTCATCCAGCCACAAGATGTCAGTACTCTTTACCTGAAGTTAATGTCTCTCTGTTTCAAAAAACTAAAGCAGTGGAAAACTGGTCTCTCGTGTTTCATTTACACGTGTAGTTCCTGGTGCAGAATTTCAGTGGCACAAAAATGTTTTGTCTAGCACAACTAACTTGTTCCTTGGTTATTCAAGAAGTGGTGATGATTCTGAAGTCAAAGATCAGATATCTAAATTAATTCTGTGTAATGTGAAGAATATTTTTTATATGGACACTGTGTAAATGGTGTGCCTACCCCCCTGCTCCTTGAGACCATTCTACCTCAGGAATTCTGTAAAGCCTTGACTTTCATGTAGACAGTTTGGCAATGAAGGACCCCTTGATGGTAACAGGAACTTCTGCATGGTTAAGGTGGGAATGGCATTGAGTTGAAAGAAAAGAGAGGGAAAATCAGTCATTTGCTGACAGCTTTGGAACATCTAAAGGAGGAAAAACGATTCTAGCTTGTGAGTTGGAAGGATTGATTGAGAGAGCTGTAAGAGGTTTGAAGTGAGAAAGGGATAAGACCAGGCTCACTAAAGATGAGCCCGGGGGCAGCCTTCCAGTGCCAGGCTTGAAACTGGTAACACAGCTAGAGCAGATGACCCTGGTAGGGGTAACAAACAGGAGGAACTGGAGGCCATTCTGCAGTAGAAAAGCCGTGACACAAGTCAGCGTTACAGAAACATGGTAGAATAACATGTTTGACTGGAGTGCTGCAGTGGATGTTTAGAAGCTCTTCAGAAGGGTCAGGCCAGGAAGTAGAGGTGATAGGGAGGCTCTGTACATTAAGAAATGTTTCAGCTGTATATAGGTCAAGGATAGTGATGATAAGTTTGAGCACTTGTGGGTAGGATTCAGGGGAAAGGACAAGGGAGACATCCTAGTGAGGGTCTCTTATAGACCACTCAAGCACGATAAAGAGGTGGATGAAGCATTTTATAGGTATAGGTGGCTGGCTGACGCTTCACAATTGCCAGTTCTTGCTCTTGTGGCAGATTTTAACTGGCTGGATATCTGCTGGAAACTCAACACAGCAAAGAGGAGGCAGTCTAGGAGATTTTTGGAGTGTGTGGAATTTCCTGTCACAGCTGGCAAGGGCGCCTACCAGGATTAAGATTCCACTAGACCTGCTATTTGTGAACAGAAGAGGGATCGGTGAGAGATGTGGTGGTCAGAATGCCCATCTTGGGCATAATGATAGAGTTTTTAATTCTTGGTGAAGTAAGTAATGGGGTCAACAAAACCTCTGCTTTGGACTTCTGGAGGGTAGATTTTGGCCTGTTCTGGAACTGGTTCAGAAAGTCTGCTGGGAAACAAAAGGGTCCAGGAAGGCTGGACACAGTTTAAGAAAAAAAATCTTATAGATGCATAAGTGAAATGCCCCTGTGTCCTGAGAGATGAGCTGTAAGGGAAGCCTCATCACCAGGAAACTTTGGCTGGAACTTAGTGGAGAAAAAAGGAGGTTTATGATCTTTGGAAGAAAGGGCAGTCAGCTAAGGAAGAGAAAAATTATGTCATTAGGTCATGCAAAGAAAAAATCTGATAAAAAAGCTCAGCTACAAGTCAATCTGACCACTGCTATGAAAGAAAATAAAAAGTGTTTTTATAAATTATTAACAACAAAAGGACGGCCAAGTAAAACCTCCATCCTTTTTTGAATGCAGGGGGCAACACTGTCACCAAGGATGAGAAAAAACCTGAGATACTTAATGCCTTCTTTTATCTTAGTCTGTACCAGTAAGACTAATTATTCTCAGGGAAACCAGCCCTTGAGCTGGTAGACAGGGGTGGGGAGCATGTAATGCAAGAGGAATTAATGACTAGTGAAGCCATTTGGACAGTTGTAAGTCTATGGGACCAGGTGGGATTTACCCAAGAGTACGGAGGGAGCCGGTGGAAGAGCTCGCCAAGCTGCCCTCCATCATTTTTTTATCATCAGGTCCCAGATGACTGTGGATTAGCCAACATGCTGCCCATCCATAAGAAGTGCTGTAAAGTGGATCCAGGGAACTACGGGACTGTCAGCCTGACCTCAGTGACTAGGAAGGTTATGAATCAGATTCTATTGAGTGTGATCATACAGCATATACACGACAATCAAGGGATAGGGCCCAGATGTCAGTGGTTTAAGAAAGGCCGTATGACCAACCTGATCTCATTTCATGACCAAGTGACCTAACTGATGAAAAGGCTGTGGATGTTGTGTACCTGGACTTCAGCACAGCCTTTGATGCTGTCTCCCACAGCATTCTCCTGGAGAAGTTGGCAGCCCATGGCTTGGGCAAGCGCACTCTTCACTGGGTTAAGAACTGGCTGGAAGGCTGGGCCCAGAGCATTTGACTGCATGGTTTCATGCTGGTGACTAGCCACATACAGCTGGTGGCCAGTTTTGCTCCTCAGGGCGTTTTAATTTTAATAACTACATATAAATTTACCTAATGAACATGCAACTTCCCAATCATTAAGGCAGTGTTTACCAGCTCACTTACCTCCACGGTCCCGTGCAGCTAGATTCTGTCCTCTTCTTAGAGTAACATCCAACTGGTACATTCCAGGGTCCCCGGGGGGGAAATCTGCATTACTAGTTCCAAATGAATTTGTTCTCTGGGGAGGAAAAAAACAAAAATGCAATAGCTAATGTTTCTAAAAGTTTCATGCACGGTATATGTACATAACATCATCCTACTGAACTAAGAGAAAAGGCCACATCCCACTCCCCCATCTCAGAGCTACAACCTAACATCAAGGAATCCGCCCTGTTTCATCAGTGTAACAATTACCAAGATTCCTTGTAATATAAATATATACCAAAAACCCCCAAATCAACAAAGAAACCAAACTGGTTGAAAAAATAATTATTTGATATAAAGGGGTTGGTAATTTATAGTCTTTAAGGTCCCTTTCAACCCAAACTACTTGATGATTTTAAGAACTACAGTTTAAATTATATTCATATCTAGCCCTGGCCCACTAAATGAAAATAAGTAAAAAACCCACAAAGCTAAACCTTACAGTATTATTTGGACTAGTCATTACCAGTATCCTCAAATCCTGTGTTGATTCAATAGTTATAACATATGCCTTGAATAAAAATACATGAATTAAGATTTTGTGCTGTACTGCAGTATTTTATGCCAGGCAAATATTCTTAGATTAGTTATTTGCATAAAATGTGTCCTAAAAAATACAATAAAGGAAGTCAGAAAGCAAAGAACTCTTCTGACCTCTGGAGAGCATGAACAATAAACATATTTCTGTCCAAAAGGCGAAGTAGAGTAAGTACATTTCTTAGTATATACAAGCTTTTAAGAAACAGTTTTTTAACACATCTCTCCAATCCAATTACAGCACATGCTTGGAACACCACATTTAATTTTGAGACTAGGAAAACTAAATCAATTATACATTCACAGTACATACGAGAACTTCATCTGTTACACACTTTAAACACTATATTTACATGTGCTCATGCTAGGAGCTGAATCTTTTAAGAGTAGTGCTATTAATATTTTATTATGTGATTATGGGTCCTCTGCAAGAAAAAAAATTTGCATGACAGAAATATCTTAGAACGTGTACCAAGTGGTATACCATTTCATCAAGAAACAAGTTTTATCTTTTTCTTCCTACTAAGCCCTTTCTTCTTTTTAAAGTAATGCTAAAGCTAAAGACACAAAATAAAGGTAATTCAATATCTGGTTTATTTTTGTTATTTAGAGTTATAATTTCAAGCCCAAGCACATCAACCTTCGCTGCAACACATAAAATGCTGGCCAAAATGCACACAGGTATGCTCAGTGGTTCCACAGCTGTGAAAGAGAGACAAAGAATGTTTGGCAGCAAAAAAAAAGCAAACAGAAGAGTTCCCATCAAGTTGCTCCTCTTTCCATCTGCCTCCATATCCTGATTTTGCAGCAAAAGACTTTTCTGACATTTATTCATTTAAATAGATTATAAAATTTTGCTTCTGCAGCACCACTTGCAGAGCCTAAGACAGCACAGCAAAAAAGAAAATAAGACCAAGTTCTCAGTTTCTCCACTAATTTTATGAACCCATTCTTCAAGAAAGAAACTGCAGCTTCCTTGCCAGTTCTGCTACACATTGCCGTCACCACCTTTTGCCCATGTCATTATCCTCCCTTGTTTTCTCAAAAATTAATAACTCTCTTATGTTCTCTTCTGTGAAAAGCAATTACTTTAATCATGCCAAATCCTTCTGGGGTTATCAGCTGTTTCTTACAAACACAATGGGTCACCTACAAACAACGAATTGCCAGTGTTCCCGCCACTGCCCTGTCAGTTGTCCCTAAGCCCCTCCCACATTTCCAGATCCTTCCCTGTCTGTCTCCCTAATCCCTTCCCACCAAGTTGTCAATCCTCCCTGGCCCTCCCCTTGTTCTAGAAAGTTCCATGCCTGTCACCCATACTCTGATATATGATTTGATATTGTAAGCTGAACACCGCCTGTGTTTCTCCCCACTGGTCCAGTGTACTGGTTTCCCCGCCTTATGTCACTCCCCTGAGTTGTCCTGATCAGTTTGTGTATTGTGCCCTCTCCTGGGGGAGGTCCCTTATATAAGTTGCTGCACCCTCGTATCTTTTGCCTTTCGTGGTTTCCCTGTTCCGATCCAGTTGTGTCCTTCCCATTTCACTAATAAACCCCCGTTTGGAACCACTGTAGGACCCTCCCTGGCTCTTTACTTCTCCTGGGACGTGTGCAGCCACAGCGAGAGCTTTGCGCTCTACCCGTGTTCTGGGTTTTCCGAATCCCAGGAACGGGCCACTCTGGGTGTGAGCTTGCCTTGTGGGCTAGCAGGGCTGACTTAGTGCGAGTGGGAAAGGCAAGCAGCATCATTCCAGCACAGGGATTCAGATTATAAGTTTTTCAAGGACTGAAGGAAGTAATTTTTTTACTTTTCTTTTCATCTTTAGGAGTATATTGCTTCAATCTATTTCTATGGGGTCGTGTCACAGTTTTTGATGAAACTATTAATCATTTATGGCAATTCCAACTCCAGAAGAAATTAATACTAGTTAGTGAGTGAACACTTCTTTTTACCAAGAAGTAGAAAAAACAGTCAGTGTGCAAGTACCCACCAACATGTCTTGTGATTGTACACATGTGCAAAGATATCCCCAAAGGAACAGGACACTAGATTGTTCTGATGAAATCAGAACACACAATGCACTCAAGCACTTAATACTGGGCAAAGTAAATCATCCTTGACTGGTACCAAATGGAACAGGGAGGTATTTGATATGTGGGAATAAAGCCCATAAAGGGTTGCCCTTAGGCTGGAAAGGCATTTGTACTTTTGAAGCCTTAGTCCCTAGCATAACAATAATTGATAAAGACCAGGTGCCCTCAGGACTATAGATAAGAAGCCATTTGGAGAGTACAAAAGGAACCTTAAATGCTACAACTGAGCAACCAACTAAATTTTATAGTTTTGTACAGTGAGTTTTACCCTGGCTAAGAGGAAGCAAATTAGAAAAGGCAATAATGGACTTCTCCGCTACCATAAAATATATATAGAAAATCATACAATAGATGTCATTACTACATTGCAGAAAGAAGTTAAGAGCTTGTCACAAGTCGCTTTAGAAAAACCAATGGCACTAGACCTCTTGGCATCACTAAGAGAAGTATGTACTGTCATTAACACCAGTTGCTCTGTATACATTGGTCAAAGTGGTAGAGTGTCTACAAATGTCCAGGAAATCTGGAAACAACCCCAAATTTGACAGTGCACAGCTCAAGATGACACCTCCTGGGGATCTGAATAAATCTGGATCAAACTTACTTCATGGCTACCCAGCTGGACCAGGTTAAAACATGTTCATAAATGTCACCATAATAACGTCTGTGTGTGTTTTAGCTTGCATTTCAATTCAGCTTTTGTAATGTCTTACACTGTGAAATGAAATACAGATATTAGTAGACCTGCTCCCTTAAGGAATTTAGTCTCAAGAAAAGGGGAGACCTGACTCTCAAGAAAAGGGGAGAACAGTAGAACAGAGTGGCATTTTACTCTCATAAGGACAGTCAAACAGAAAAGCACAGCCTTGGAAAGCTAGATAAAGGATGTAACTTAGGCAAACAGGATTTGTGCAAAATGCAAGCAGGATGCCAGCTCAGCTCTGCAAGGTTGACAAATAAGAAGTTGCACAAAACAACAATATTGCGCTAACTCAAAAGCTGGGCTTGAGGAAGAGTCATCTAAAAAGGACACTGGTCATTGAAGACTACCAAAGAAGATCTGAGAAAGACCATATTAAGGACTTTGACAAGGGGTGCAACTATGTAAAATAAAGTAATACATATACATCGAGTAAGTGGGGATAGCTGATGAATACATAATCAGTGTGTACGATGAAATCTCTGTTTACCTGACATTTGGGGCACTTTATTACAGGAAGGATCCTCTGAGTGACCAGAAGGCTGCTGATGCCTGATTTCTAATACTCAAAACTATACTAGAAAAAACTGTTTCTATCTGGCCAATTTTGGTGCCAAGAATGAACTGCTTTACCCTGGCCAGACACTGGAATAGGTTGCCCAGGGAGTGTTCCTGAAGACACCTGAAACCTGCTCTGACATTGTCTCGAGCAATCTCGAGCAAGAGGTTTGAATGGTCTGTCTCCAGAACTCCCTACAAACCTCATGCATCCTGTGATTTTCTATTGCTTTGAAATGTCATAGTAAATAAAGTGTATCCTGATCTTAGCTACCTTTCCTTGATGCGTTGTTCTGCCTGCCACTTGCTGCAGTTGGCATTCAGAACTATCATCCTCTCCACCCCTTAAGAGAAGAGCATGTCCAAGATACCAAGATTCACTTAAACCCCAAAGTTTTCAAAATAAGCTTACATATACACTTCGCGTTTATGCTAACGTGCTCATTAAAGTTGTAACTGTTCCCTGCACATTTCTTTCTTTCTCTGTGAAGAAGCCCATTACTTTCTAAGGCACATCAAGCCTACTGTGTATGATTCGACAAGCATGAAGCTGCTTTCTACATGCACTTGTAGAAAGCAAGTTACCCGCACTCTCAAAAATCCCAAATATGATCATTTTCAAAAATGAAAAAAGAGTACTAAATTCAAGTCATTATGAAACAAATTAAATCTGACTTTCAGAAGAATTACTGCAGAATTATTCCGTTTCCAAGACAAGGAAAAAACCTTAGCAGTTCTGTGCCATTTTGGTTTTAAAAATATTATTGGAACTTACATGGCTTGTCTGAGTACATTTTTGCAAGCACACATGTACTTGCACTCAAAAACATGATGCATTCACTAAGTAAAAGGGGAAATAGAAGCAGTCTCTAAGGGGATGAAAATAACACTGAAAATACAAAAATTCTGTAATTTTTTCCCACTCAGAAGGCAGACCCTAATTTCCTAAAATTATTGAATTGTTAGGCATTAAAATCATATCTGCATTTCCTTTTTCTCGTTTTTCCCAAAGACTAAGTCTCAGACAGATGCAGCGCTGTTCTAATTTCTGGCAGCTAGCATTTCTGTCACCTCTAGAAAAACTTGCACTATCACACAAAAAAAATTCTCTCACTTGCCTGAAGAGTGCAGAATTATACAGCAAGT